TTCAGTAAGCCAGCTTGTTTTGACTGCGATTTCGCTGTGATTATATGTTCTATGCAAAACTACATATTTTACACACAAATATATAAAAAATTACTTGAAACGTGAAAATATTTGATTTGTAAATACTATGAGAGTTGCATAAGTGCTCTGGATGAGTAGTAATGTCGAATGAAAGGATGCATGATTGATTCCATTTTTTGTAGGTTTGTACTAATCGTTTTCAAGTTGAATTAGGTACCAGGAAATTGGCGCATATTTTAGAAGAATTATGTACTAGTATAAAAATATAAATGAATATAGCTATGTTATATTATAGTGAAATTGAAGGTTTGGAATTAATTTTTCGAAAAAAAAAATAACGGAAATTTTGACAAACTATATTTCGAATAAAGAACTCTAAAAAATAAGCCTTTGGTTATCCTTAGGGCGTTAGGATAATAGAGAATTAAAAAAATCCATGGAGTTTTTTTTCTTAAGTAAAGTTGAGGCTCTCAAAAACGTTATTCAAACGGTAAATTGGTGAAACAATGTTTTCTCCTGAAACGAGTTATGGTGCACTCTGAATTCTTTCCGACCGGACAAACTGTCAACAAGGAATACTATTTGAGTTTTATGCGAAGTTTGCGTGAAACTATTCGCAAAAAGAGACCGGAATTATGAGTCGAGAACTCCAGTTTTTGGCACCACGATAACGCACCTTCGCCTACTACATTGGTTCTGCTTGCGTTTCTTGCCAAATTTTCAACCAATATCATGCCGTATCCACGGTATTCGCCTACTTAAACGACCACTCCAGGTAAATCGTTTTGATTCAATAGAGTTCCACATGCTTGATGTTACTCTACATACATATGTTGATTAGAGCTGCCAAAATCTTTCTAATTTGCAATTGATCAGTTGAAAAGCATTTGGGAAGCACATTGATGGACCCATAAATATATTTTTATTTTATATAAATTTGAGAAGAAAATAAAAATAAATTATTGTTCTCAAGAATCCCTAAATGGTGCGAAATGTATGTATATCAGCTTTATAAATTTATTGCGATCATCTTTAGAAAGAAATACTCGTATTAAGTATTAAAACTGAAAATGTAGATGCTCCATTAGAAGTGTAATAAATTTAAACTAAGTTGTCAACGTAAATTTTGTTATTTCTAAAACTTAAACCTAACCACCTAACCAGATGACGCAACTTTTAACCGTTCCCACGACAGTCGGGTCTACGAAAACCGGAACGCACCCGGATTTCTATCCGGCCAAGGACTATCAACTCGTCAGAATTTCTGCCGTTACAACAACAACAACGCAACTTTTAATGTTATTGCGGCACCAATTTTCCTAATGACGAAAAGACAATGCACAATATGGAATCACATGTAAGAAGCCATATTTACATATCTATATATGTATGCATGTAAGTCAATATCAATCAATCAAACTTTGTTGATAATCTAATGAAACTAAAAATAGACCGAACTAATAGAGAACTGTCAAAATGATTGAATGCTAAGGAGAACAAGTGTGAACGCACTTAATCAAAGTAGAGGGTGCAACTTAAAAATAAAAATAGACAGATAGTGAGCGTTTACTAGAAAAGAACATATTTGGAATGCACCGACAATATATTTTGAATATGTGTACTGTGCTATGCATAAAAATAATATTTACACACTTTTTGTCGTATTAAATTTGAGAAAGCTTGAAATAGAGAATATTTCCAAGAATTGTATGCATAAAATTATATGTATCTATCTAGGTGGTAAAAGTGCTAACGGTAACACTAATACTATAATAACGCTAATGCCATTAATCCGTTATATTAACGTTTCTCAGAAAGTTGTTCATATCACAGAACATTTAAATAGTTAACATTTAACGATGAGAAAGTATCATTTCAAGACTATTTAAAGTCAGCTTGAGAGCGGCGTTAAGTGGTGAACTGGTTATTCCAGTTTATTATTGCAGTAGATAATGTTCCTTAATCGTAATGTATATCAGAAAATCTAATTTATTACAAATTACCGAACGGTTGTTTATAATAAAAAAGTTAAAATA